TTAAATAGACCAAATCAGGTTTGGAGAGGTGGGTTTGGGTGGTGGTGGTTGCAGTTTCATGAATTATTTCTCGCCACATTGTTCTGATTAGTAAAGCCAGTGCACTTTGGCCAGTCCGACTGCATCTCTTTGGTACGTAGATGTGGCCATGCATTCTCATAGCAAGCCATACCGAGTCTGGACAGGACCCGATCAGGCTGAAGACGTAAGCCGTGAGAGCTTCCGATCAAATTTGGCATTTGGACGCCTCTTGGGCAGATGACGAGCTGTTGGCTTCAATGATTTCTTTGACGGCCGCAAGACACGCTGACGGGGCTACGTGGCTACCCTCCTCCACACTCACGATGAGGGCATGACCCCAGCGCCCGCAACCCCGTGTTTCTTGTGCAACTGGTACCCCCCTCTTTGAAGGCCTAGCATTGCTTCTCGGCGTAGAGTAAGCCCACGGCGTAAGGCGTTTGCTAAGATTCAAGTTAGGGTTCAGGCTTTGGGGTTGAACCCTTCCCAATGCGCGAATGATTGGTTTGCCCAAAAGCAAGAAAGAAGTTCCATCTTCTGCCCCAAAAACAACCAAGAATGACTACTTGTTGTTCGACCCCGGAACAACAAGTCTCCCCCTGCCCACAGCAAGTCCCCCGCCCCCTTGTTGTTCGAGCCCCCCCCCCCCCAAGAACAACAAGTCCCCTTCCCCCCACCACGTAGGGGCACTTCTTGGTCTAGGAGATCCTTTGTTTCTCGGACCCGGACCTTCGCAGCATCGACCTGATTTTCCAACTCGATCTGAGGACAGCAGCACTCGCGCGTGCAAGATCGCAGTAGCAGCGCCTTGGAGAAGTTTATGGGCTCTTTTGGCCGCTCTTTAAATGGGGGTCCACCCCAAAATGGCACCCTCAACACGAGACATTCGCTTGAATGAGCTCTGGAACAATTTGGAACCACCAGCACCGCACCCCACGGCTGCCTCTTGGGGTCTTGGAGATTGCAAAAAGAGTTCTTGGAGGGTGCTGGCAGACTTTGGTGGTAGGTCGTTGGATTTCCTGATTTCCTTCAACAGATCAGCGGCTGGGGGAGAATTTCGCCTCCTTGTCTTTAAATGTTCCAGTGTTTCCTCGCCTGTTGCTGTCCGATTATTATGTGCCCTGAAACTCAAGGGGGATCACAAAAAACAAGAGACTCTTAAGCTCGTCAGGTAGTTACTTGCCGGTTTTCCATTGAGCCCCTCACCCAAACACGGTCTATGTTCACTGAAGCATGCCCACCTCCCCAGCATGGAGGTAGCGAGCCGCGGCGGCGGCGGCGCCGGACGCGCTACAGGCGAAAACGGACAAAGGGGGTTGCCCCTGAATTTAGGTCTCCTCAAAGGATAAAACTGTTTTTTTGTTATGTTTCCCCTTTTGCTTATCTCGACAACCTCTTGTGGGCCATTTTGAAGCGAGTGTGCTTTTTTAGGTGATGTTTGTGGGAGGGCCGTTTGCACCATTACCTTTTCCACAAGACCACAAGGACACTGCCTTTTAGGAAGCAACGTTCAGGTGAATGATATATATATATATGTACATAGATATATATGGTACCCCCCCTGGAATACTCAGGTTTTTGGCCAGAAATTGACATTTTGGCTGTAAAAATGCATGCAAAACACACGTTCCAGCTTCTAAAATGAGGCTCCAAAAATGCACTCCGTTTTAGACTTAAATTCTAGCATCGGTACTTAGGTCAATCCAGGATGTGCTAGCACGTGCTAGCACATCCTGGATTGCCCTAAGTACATATTTGGATAATTTCAGAAAGAGTTGTCAGAGAATCTTCAATCTTCAGATCCTGGATTGCCCTAAGTGCGGATTTGAAGAATCTAAAAGGCAGACCGGGAGTGCACCTTGTCGGAATCAAATTGTGGATGTGCACTTGCACTGCCTGCATTTGGCCAGGAAGAAAAAATGTTGTTGACATCTTTACAGGTTTTTTGTGGACTTGAGGGCTGGCCAGGATGGAAGATTCTCAATAGAAAATATAGTAGATCTTCAATCTTCAATGCAGGGGGCAAAACCTTAATGAGTCTAGCACAAACTGTCAAGATTTTAGGGGACCAGGATTGAGGATGTTCTAAACATATGTTTGTGGAATCTTGCATACTCGATCTTCGATCCAGGGCAACGCGATCTGAGCAAATGCAGAAAAACACTGCGTTTTACAGCATTTATGCCAAGAATAAGATCTATGATTGAAAGCACGTTCCAGGCATTGGCTTGGCTCAGTTCTTGCTCGCTCAACCACATGGAGTTCGATAAGGACAATAGCCATCTTCTCCAGTTGATTTTTGAAATGCGCAAGAAACTCCAAACGAGTAAACTTGAAATTGGCTTGAACTCGAAAGCGTTTTAAACTGGATATCCTTCCCTTGCTTGAATTTCAATACTTGTTATTGGCGATGATTGAACCATGTTAGACTAGCAACACACACACACACATGGGATAGTTGCTTTGCAACATATGTTTCAAACAGACTGAACTAGCATGTACATGGAATTCTGCACAACACTCGAGTTAACATGAAAATGCAATTGCGCAAGGACATGAAGTAGGAATGAGTTCCTTTTCCCCAAGTTGATGATTTGCTGAATTTCGCTGCCAAACAAAAATAAGAAGCACACAATAGTAGAGCTGTAAGTGCACTTCGCGCACGCCAATGTGACGGTCACACAACTCCTTCAACGTTGAGCTTAAGTTCTGCTTGGTTGGATTTTTGCATGGAGTTGAGCGTCCAGTCAGTTCATTTCAGCGTCGCAAGGAATTTGTCACCCCCTGTCTGGCCAAAAAACCTCAGTTCTGGCCAAAAACCTGGGTATTTCAAGGGGGGGGGGGTAGCATATATATATATATATACATGCCACCCTGTGATTGCTTGGCTACTGTATGTCCTGCTGGCGTCTGTGACTTACAATTTCACCAGGGATTCACTTTCCGTCAACGTTGGAAATTGATCCACGTTGAACTTTGGCTTGCTTTTTTCTGTGCAACATCTTGCATTCTCCGTACCTTGAAACAAGATCCATGGGTGTTTGGGCCCTGGGATTGAGAGAGTCAAGACGCGAAGGGAGGTTGAACATGCACGGCTATCAGAGCTTGCAACAGTTGGAATTTGACACATCGCCACATGGTGTCACGCATCGATTCCCTTCTCACTGTTTTGCTTGCCAGTATGTTCTGATTTTTGAAAGGCCAGCGATTCTGTCAGAAATGGAGGTTCACATTTGACACATGACCAAGTATGCCCTGGTCCTTCCTACTGGCCTATGACCTTGCGTACTTTACCAGGGTCCGCGGTGACCCCGTTTTGGTTGATACTCCAACTCCCCTCAGTTTGTTCGCCATTGCAAGGCACTCCAGCAGCGAAAGCGAGGCGCGCCGGGTGAAGGGTGGGCGGTTGAATTTGGCAAGGGCTGGATTCGGTGGAGAGCTTACCACAATTTTTGGGGGTTCACAAGGTTGCAGGTGTTCGAGTTGCGTCCGTATAGATGTCTCGTTTCCATGTCCGCAGTCCGATCACGACTCTTGTGGCGGGCGCTGATGGGATCCCTTCGATGCTTCCTTTTGGTTTCCATTGGAACACCTAGGAAGGCGTCTCCCTCTTTCCGCAGTTCAGCGTCAACGAAATGCCGGCAAGCTGGCGTCACGTCACTCCAGAAGACAACGTAACTGTTTGGCCATATGTATAACTGGTGCTTCAATGCTTTTCTTGATACCTGCATCTATTCATATGCCCCCAAACGAATTCCCTGTTCCGGGGGAACCAAAAAACATTTGGCGCTAGCTCCAAAGGTAGGGGCCATTTGAATCTAAGAAAACTGAACGGGAGCCACCAACTTTGGCTTTCCACAGTTGACTGGTTGGTTCAAATTCGATCCATTTTCCTTGTGCCAGACAGAGGGGTGGTCCCTTGTAGTGGTGATGTCCCACTACAGATTTTCGACTGTATCCAACACCCCAGTCTAGAAGTTGTAAAGAAAGCCTAAAGGCAACCACCCAATTTGGGGGCCCCATGTTGAGAGAATCCTGACGGATGTTGAAGATTGGAGACAAACGTTGACTCACTCGAGCTGGTGGGAAGATCATTTTGCTTGTTGGTGCAGAGCGGGGAATGAGGGAATGCCCCGTACAGCCCATCCCCTGTGGTTTCCTGTAAGGTAATCCCCAAAACCGGTTCATTCCCAACACCCGGAAAGGTCATTCCCTACTCATGGGGGCTGGGGGGGGGTGGGCCCAAAATAAGCCCTTATTAAGTAAGGCCTGATTTAGGGCTTACTTGGGCTCCCTCCCCCTCCCCTCCCACCCCCCCAGCCGCCGCCGCACGTTTGGACCGTCTCCCAGGACAGCTTCGGGCGTCGCCGGAAGCCCTCGGTTCAATCCCCGAGCTCGCCGCCGCTGAAGCCCAAGCGGAAGGTGGAGGACTCAGAGGAAGAGCCGCCTGGCAGCCAAGAGGTCAACAGGTGTCCCTCGGTCAGATGGCTGTGGTCAAAACCGTCTTGGATCGGATCCCATTTTGGTGGGTAGGTGAATTCACCCATTTTAGAACCTATCTTAGTGGGGATTGGGATGTTCACTGGGGGCTAACCGGGATTTTGACCCATGGCCAGATTGTGACTGAACATAGATGGCACCAAGCTGGTAAACCAGACTCTTCTCATCTGAAGTGCCGCACCAAGGGGGGTGTCAACCCTGGATCAATAAACGTCGCCAATGATTTAGGGGTATGTCCGGCCGAAAGCGAAGGATGTCCCCTCAAATGAGACACCACGCCAATGAATTAAGCACGGGTTCCCATAGATCCATAGTCCATAGTTTGAATTGCGTAATCCTTTTTGGGATGGTGTTTGCAGGGAAGCACGTTTGGTTTTGTTTACAGGGAACCAACCAGCACATCGCACATCACACCTAGTTTTGTTTACGTATTTTAATCAGAGCGCGATTCCTCAACATGCCCAACTCATGAAGAGCATCCTTTCTGCCCCCGTCCAAGCAGCCACGGATGTCGTTGAAGGCTTGCCATGATCTTCAGACGTGCAGTTGAGAATGACGCTGGCTTGAGGTGTCAACTTGTGATGACCCCCATGGCAAGGTTGCTACTCAGGGCGCCTGCTCTTATGCTAAATGGACAAACAGGCAAAACGGGGCATAGGCACTACATAATATATATATATATATGTAGAGATAGTGCAACGGCTGCGTAGTGGTTGTCCCACTAAACCCCTGGAGGTTGGGTAGTGGCTTCCCCTGTGGCTCCGAGGAGCGCGCTCCCGGAACCGGAGCAGCTCGACCGCTTGCAGGCGGCAGTGCAGCACGCGCAGGCGGGAGGCGTGTTTGGCTCGCTCGAGCGGGGGGGGTTGACACCCTTGGGTGATGGAAATGGATCAACATTGCTGGATTAATTTGGGGGGCCGCACAACACAACTAATTGCCAGGAATCAGGGCAAAGCTTAGTTTTGAAGCACTCTGCAACCCCACAACCCCATTTTAATCATTTGGGTCCTTATGATATGCCAAGTTGTCCAGAAGATCGCAGGGCCCCGTTTCAGGTCAACATGCTTCGCGCTTTTTTCCATTGGCACTGGTTCAAATCTTGCGGCAACAAGGCAAATGGGTTTTGTTTACATCCGGCTTGGATGTTGCCCGATTCATTTTCGGCCCGCTGGAGGAACGTGAGACAGGAGGCGCAGCCAGACGCACATTTTCAGGTTACAGACTTTAAACACACTGCAAAAGTCCTTTGCGCGGGGAGCAAACAGTTCTCGCTTCTTTGGCCCAATCTGCTCACAAATCTCATCCTAAAATTCGTCGGTGGGGTGCTTCTGCTGTTCTTTTCGAGAAAAACAAAAAAGACAGACAAAACGGTTCCCTGCTCCGCGCGCCGGCCGAGGTTCCCCCGGCCCTTTTTGTGTCAGGACGAGCTCACGCGGGTGGAGGCGGACGCGCGGGACGACGAGCGCCTGAAGGCGGCCAAGGCGGAGGATGTGCCGCGGATGCGAAAGAAGCGAATGGATGGACTTGTGGTGTCGGATTTTCCCAGCGGTTCCCCCCATTTGCTTAAGATGTTTGTTCCCTTTTTTATATTTGTTTTCCCTTGTTGGTTTTGAAAGGAATTCATCACTACTGGAAATATCGCCAGTTGCTGTTTTTTTCCATGCACTTTACCCCCAAACCAGCAACAGTGACTGAAAAAAACAGCAACTTTCCCAGAGGCTCCCTCCATTTGCTGAAATGAAGATTGTTTGAATGTTTGTAAAGGAAAAAGTCCCTTGTTGGTTTTGAAAGGAATTCATCACTACTGGACATTGATTTTACATTTTTTTCCTGGGGCCTTAACCCAAATGGAAGGTTCCTGTTTTGGGCATTTTATTTGGAGGGCGTCAAGTGGTTTGCAGCCGGTGGTTTCCAGTTTCCAGTGGCTTTTCTAGCGGCTGGCAATATTTTCAGTGGTTTCTAGTTGGTTCCGGCAGTTCCTGACTCACCCTGCAACCCGGACGAGAAAAGTTCCTTGGATTCCTTTCCGGCGTGTGCATGACCAGATAGTTTTAGATCTGTGCCCAGATGATGTCCAGTCCCTTCGTCCCCTGCAATTTAACACGGAATTACCAGGTCCTCCGAACAACAGGAGGTTCCTTGACAAATGTTCTTTTTTGCGGTTCCACGTCAATCTGCAGCGATGTTTTCCAGTTCAATAGCCCAAAGCTCGAGCGGTGTCTTTGTGCTCTTCTCCTTTGTTTTAAGATGTGTCCATTTTGAAATCAAGTAGCAACAAACAGGGTGCTCTTATGCTCCTATGTCTCTTTCCTACTGAAGGTTTGGAGAAGCTTCAAAGCAAAGCCAAAGAACACCCTTCCCGATTTGCGGGGTGCCGCATTTGGAGAAACTCAAGGGTGTTAAGAAATCCAAACATGCCTGAGCAGGGCGACTTCAAGCACATGTTGTTGCGGCACCTTTCCCAGCTGTTCTATTGATCACGCTAATGGTACTCCTTCAGTTTTTGTGCAAGTCAGACGTTTCAGGGATTTCAACTTGTGGCAAACGGAGTCGCTGGGCTTTGTTCCGCTTTCAGAAGCAGTCAAAAGGGGTTGCCCTGATGCTAGATCCACTTGCCTTTGGCGCTAGGCTCAGGATTTCTTGTGGCCAGAATCCCCTTTTTCTTGCCATCTGGCTGGGGAGACTGACTGCGACCCGAGACCCATTGCGAGGGCTTCCGGACAGAGATAGCTCTGCTTACTGGCTGCCACACCCTTGCTTGACCCTCGCTCAAGGTCACAAGCATGTGAGAAGCACTTTGGATCTCAAGACCCCCATTTTCAGGGCCTGGGCCCCCTTTCATTTCTCTTTGGGTACGCAGGAGAGTGCGAGAGGGACTTTTGTGAGGGGCGATTCAAGTGCAAGAGTCCATCTAAGCAATTGTAACCTCGCACCACATCGAAGATTTCTTGGTGCATTGCCGTTTAAAGTAGGGTTGTCTTGACTTTAATGAGCCCGAGTAAATCGGGGCTGCTTCACACGTGACTGCCGCCACAAACCAGGGTCGGCATGGAGAAAAAAAACAGCAGACCCTGGCTCTGAGGAGGATACCAAAAGGAGGTGGGTGTGGGTCAAAATTAAGCCATCAGCGGACCGCAGGTTTTACTCTATGTTTCCATTTACCAGGGTTCCATTTTGGGTACATATTTTTGACCCACAGCCAGGTTGTTGAAACAATGGTCAGGCCCGGCAATCCAAAAGCACGGCGCCTAGGAGTACTCCCGGGAGGTGGAGGAGGCAACAGTTCAGGCCCGCTTTTTTGCATCGGAGAGCCGATTTCAAGAGGTGTTCCTTTCAACCATGCATTTCTTTTTTCGTTGGTGAGGGGGAAAGGGGCTTTTGATTTCTCAAAAACAGTTTCCACTGCCCCCAGACGGCTGCTGGATGTGGCTGTTTGTCTCATTCAACCCTTGGGGGTAGCTTTGGTCTAGGGGCAGTGGTTCGACATATTGCTGCGGCAGACGCGACGGCGGCAGAAAGACCTCGGCATTGTCTTTGGTCGGCTGTTCTTACGGCTTTGCTTCTTCTTTGCTATTTCCTTCTTTGGTTGTGTGTGTTTTTTGTGCTGTGTTCTTCTTTCGGTGCATTTAGTTGCTGGATTGTTTTTCTTCGGTGTTTCCGGGCCTGTTTTCCCATGATGCTCGCCACATTTTCCCTTGGCCTGGCTAGCTGTGCCGTCGGAACCGCCCTCGGAATCGCGCGCCGCGAGGTTCGCGAGCGCGCGGAGCGGGACATGGAGCTGAAGTTGAAGGACCTCGAGCGCAGGTGAAGCCCGAAGCCGACACCCCGCGGTTTGGGGTTTGGGGGGTGTCGTGGGGGCGGGGGGGGGGACATGATGAAGACATAGGGTGTTTCGGTGTTTCGGTGTGTGTGTGTGCTTGAATAGGGATCTTTCGCCTTTGTTGTGGCTCACTTGTACCGGCTGTCATCACTAGTGGGTGGCAGTCATTTCAAAGGCGTCAGCGAGCTTCTCTAGGGGCAGGACGTCCCTTATATTCATAAGGTTTCATTAATTAACTCCTTCCCGCTGGTGCAGGATTATGTCCTTCCACAGTAGGGACTGGTCATCAGCCCTTAAATCGGGAACTCTGCTTTACCAGGCTTGAGCATTGTGACAATCCCCGTCAAGGAATCAGTGCCATGACCGCTACAGGCAGCTTTGACACGCTCGGCGCCCGCATTAGACCTCCGAAAGCCGTCCGACGTGGGCGCCCACAATGTGGAAGGAGGTCGACGCACCTTGACAACTCCTTGTTTTCCTATGAACCAGTTGTTCTTGCCAGCAGTCAGCAGCTGTTTAAAGCCAGCAGACATGCGCGCTAAGTGTTGGAATACATGTGAACCAATGGGGTCTATCTGATTATCTGAAACAAAAGCTTCATGTTTTTCGTCAAAATGCCAAAACGACCATTATGTGTGGGAAAAACAAAAACGAGAACGAAAAAGGGGGGAAACACATGGTTTGTCGTCAACAAACACCACCTGGCCCTTGGCCGGGCTCCGGGCCTTTGGCTTTTGGGCGACTCCAAGGAAAAAGTCCGGCGCAGGCTCCGGAACGAGATGGAGCAGGCGGTGGAGGACGGGAAGGTTGCAGCAGAGGAGGCCTGGCCCTCCGAGAACTCCAGCATCCGCTCGCTTGAAAAATTCGGGAACCCCCGAACTTCGGTGGTCCTCTTGGTTCCCCCGGTAAAGCCAACAAAACTACCTGGAGATTCATTTTCCATGATTTTCCTGGTAGTTCTCGGCTTTGACTTGCTTTTCGTAAATCTCGATGTTTTTTTCGTGAAGTCGCCTAAAACTACTAAAGCTCCTATATTTTTGAGATTTCAGAATTGGTACGGTTTCACGTCTTCCCCGCCCAGAATTACCCGCAAAACGCCCGCAAAAAGCCCGCAAACGCCCGCAAAACCCCGCAAACGCCCGCAAATCAGAAAAAGACGCTTTTTGGGCTCGGGGGTCGTGCAAAACTCCTAGAAACCACTTGGAACGCCCAACATGCCCAAAACTGCCAGAAAACTAAAACGCCTAGGAAAAGGCCGGAGAATGAATCTCCAGGTAGGGGAGTTCCCCCCAAATTACCCCATGTCCTCTTGGTTTTCCCCGGGTAAATCTCATAAAAAAAAGGGAGTTCCCCCAAAATATGACAAACCCAAACCGGTGGTCCTCTTGGTTTCCCCGGTAAAGCCAATAAAACAAGGGAGTTTTTGGCATAGGAGAACCCCCCCCCCCAGATTTCGGTCATCCTCTTGGTTTTCAAAGGTAAAACCAATAACAAAAGGGAGCATTTTTCGCATTTGTGAAACCCAAACCCAGAAGGGTATGGGTTGGACCGGGACCCAAAAGTGTGGTTTGCCTCTTGGTTTGCCTGAGGGACCCAACTTGATTTTGTGTACGTTTTCAGGGTGGCAGTAAAGAGAAACCGGACCGAATACCACTATACAGGTTTGTCTTCTAGATGCATAGGTAAAGAGGCAAGCACCACTGCTTCTAACACGTTCCCGAGCGCACGTTGGGTCTGCGCTTGTTTCGTTCGAGCCACTTTTGCGCCGCGGTGTATGCTATTCTTGGGATAAGGGCGTCGAGGACGGCCATCTGGGCAAAGCTCCGCCCCGGATTCAAGCCTTTGGAGCCTTGCAGTGTCACAGAGCCTTTGACATTTCTTTGAAGGGACCCCTCAAGATTTGTGTCCTTTCGGTTTCCCTTTCCACTCGAGTTTCTGGACTTTGCTTTGAAAAAGAGTTCTAGCGGAGAACATTTTGTAGTCAAAACAACTCTCCAATGCTGGAGTTCGACTGGCCCCCCGGCCGGCTGAGAGGCTCCAAGTCTGTCGCAATGATGGCGCGACCGCCAGCAATATGTCCCCATCTTCAGGAAGCATCCCTGTGGTTTAAGACAGCCAGGCCATTTCACAATGTGAGGTAAGACATTTTATTTCTCTCAAATGGGTGTTTGAGCAGCGGTGGGATCAGCATTTGAAAGTGGGGAGAGGTCTTGCATTGGAGGGCTGCTCTTTTGATCAAAGGATGAGTCATAGGATGCCAAAAAACATTGCCCTGCCCCTTGCATTCCTAGAAAAACGCAGCTCTGGCAAAATATGACCATGCCTGTATTATTTCCTTCGCCTTCGTTGCCTACTTCAGCAATGAGGAAGCAGCCAAAAAGAGAGGTTTTGATGCGATGACCTATGCCATGAAATTGCATTGACTCTCCGCACAATCTTTGGCACTTCGACTCACCCTCAGATCTGCCAAGGTCAAAACACTCAAATGGGGGGTTGCTACGGTGGATGCCCTAAATATTGCAATTTGGGAGCAAGGGAAACCCTGTAAATTCCCATGGTTTGTGTTTGGTTTACTTGCAATATTTGAGGCATCCACCGTACGGATGGACCATGGCCCAGCTTGAGCTGATTCTCCTGGAACCGTCGGAATCGCCCCGACCCTGCGCGCAGGCCGCGCAGTCTCGCCGCCTGGATGCGGAAAGGGATGCCCGACAGGAGCGGGGAGTAGCGGTCGCTGGCTGTTCCGTGAACTGCGGCCATGGCTGCAGTATTTTATTCGTGCGTTCACTGTTTTTTTTTCATTTTTGTACTCATTCTTCGTAGATTTGTTGTTCAATTTGCCTATTTCTTTATTTGTTTCAAGTTTGTTTAGTTGGGGATGCATGAGGGTTTGGTTAGCTCGATTTCGTTGGGCAATGTCTGATTTTCAAATACGCGCTACTTCTGATTTGTATTGATCATCGTCGGTAGCCTTTTTCTTTGCCTTGTTTCTCGCATGGGGTTTGTCCTGTGGCATCCATTGCGGTTCACCGTGACCGATGGTTGAATTTTCCAAATGGTCACCGGGGCAAGTGCAGGTTCCAACCTACGCTCTAGAAAGCGGTTTGGGGCGCTTTGTGGATTTCACCTGTTCTTGCCCCTGTGTAGATTCTTTTGTAGTACTCTTTTAGTACACTTTTGATATCCTACAGGGATGGATCCATGAAAGCCACATCCAATCCGTTTCTAGACAAGCTTGATCCGGTCATCCCACAATGACCTGAACTGTGGAGTTGCAGGGGTTCCTGGAGGGAATCCTCACTTGGCGGGTAGTCGAGGGCTTGCGCCCAATCTGCCGCATCTTCAACTTCCCTTGGGTAGTGGTTTGGGGTGAGTGGAAACGCTCTCAGACCTTATCCAATTCAGGGCGCCTTGGGCGGCGAGGTCGAACACAAAGCCATCTTTCGGACAACCCCCACATGTGCCTCACTTCGAGGCAAACCAGATTCCGACTCGACTTGAGTTGGATCCTCAGCGATGTTTTTCCACCTGAGACGAATTCATTTTGGTTCCAGCATGTCGCTTGGAAGTCAAGGCCGCCGGTCCTTCCTGCCTTTCATCCTTTGTGCCAGTGCTGCTCTGGCACACGCTTCATGGCATCGGACGAGGATTCCTTACCTTGAAGGCGCTTTTCAGGTATGCCTGCAGGTCCACCAATACTAGCCCCTCATGCGGCTCTCGGACTCACGACGGGGCACCTGAGGACCCTCAGGTTCCTGAAAACGATCTTAGTTTTGGGTACCCTGAAATGGGGTGAACCGCTTGAATGGTTCAGTCCTCAAGTCCTGGCAGCCGTCCAAAGCAAGCTGAGTACCTGGAGCCTAGTTGAACCAACAGTTTAATGTTCACTGAAGTTTGGGTTGGGGGGCACACGCTTTCATGGGCATTTTTGCGTGTTTCCTTCTTCTTCTTCTTCTTCTTCCTTTTGTTTTTTTTTTTTGGGGGGGGGAGGGGGGTTCTGAAAAGGTTCCCTCATGGTATCCAAGGGCGGTCTTTCAGGTGGAGGCAGCATAAGCCAACATTAGAACAGCAGTTGGCACCAGTGAAGAAACAACAGTATATCAAGGAAGACCCTTGCAGATGTTAAGATAGGCATGTCCGTATGGCAGTCTGACCCGCTTCGTATCAACAAATGGCCATGTTTCACAACCATCACTTCCAGGCATGTTGGACAATTCCAGGGATTGCTTGTGAGGAAACCATGCTTTCTGGGCAATTGCCGCAATGGATCGTATACAAGAGGAACCTTATCCATGATGCAGGTCTTTTGGATTCCTGTCCTGTTTGTAAACATGTGTTTCCCAGATGGCTTTAGCACTTTGCCCAGATGATTTCCAGTCCCTTAGTCCCTGCAACTCAACATCGGAACCCCACCAATGGGGTACCTCCAAGAGGAGGTGTGTTCCTGTTTTTGCGGTTCCATGTCAATCTGCAGGGATGGTTTCCAGTTCCTTAGCCTAGAGCTCCAGTGGTTCATGTCCTTTTGTGCCTCTTTTGGACGAGGTTTCCTTTAAACCAAGTGTTGGAGGCGGCAGGTGAAGAGCTGGTAGTTGACGTGAAAGTGGAATACATTTAAGAGACTCTATGATTAGTGCCACCCATTTTTAAAGGTATTCAAGTTGCAAAAAGGTCAAGACACCACAGCAACATCTCAAACAAGGGTGCCCTCTTTCCTGTGACGATGGAGTTCCTGGAACTGGCGTGGGTTCTTCGGGGGTCGCTCCGTGTGGGTAATCTTGGTGTTGCAGTTTTGTGGGGGTGCAGTCTTGTCTTTTGAAGCAACCACCCTCAGGGGCCATTTTTCTCATGGCGAACCCCAAGGGACCAATTTGAAAGGAAACCACCCCTTGTTCGATTGCCTAACCACAACAAATATTCTCCAAATACCCGCTGTTTTCAGGGAATAGCGTCAACAACTGACCCCTGAAGGAAGTGCTTATGACCAACACCAGCCTATTCACCGAATGCCGATTCACCACAACGTCTGAGTGTTTGTGTTTTCGAGGCCAGCCTTTTGTCTCCCCGGCAAGGGGAGACGAAAGGCGCTTCGCATTTTGTGCCACGCCGAAACCGACCGAAGTCTTCGGCTTCGCCAGGAGCGGGAGCGGCTCGTGGCGGAGGCGGAGCGCAGCCTGCGCAGCGCGCGCAAGGCGCAGATGTTGGCCGGTGGCCCTGGAGACGCGAGCGAGCAGCGAGCGAGCGAGGAGGGGTCAGTGGGGCAGCAACCGGTGCCAGGGACACCTGGAGTCGATTTTTGTGGCTTGGGGCCCGGGGGTGTCCATAGGATGTAAAGGAAACCAAAACGAGAATCGCCAGTTTCAAGGGTCCAAATGCCTATTTTGATATAGATCCATTTTGCAGTTTAGTTTTCCGCCCTCAAAAACCAACATGCTGCGAAAGTGGTTGCAAAGTAGACACGTGCCCTCCCCTCTGACCCAAAACAACATGGGGCCTGAACAAGAGCCAAGCACGGAAATGATAAAAATAATGCATTTGTGCGCTCGTTGTGGGCAGGAAAGCATACCGACGACTTGTCACTAGGCGGGAAATACAATAAACATAATGGCAGCATGTTTGAGGCGGGGAAGCAATGACATGACATGTGTATTTGGCTCGAGGCGGGAAAATTCAACGTTTTGTGCTTTGTGACCTTGAGGCAGAGACATCAAGATGGCCCTCCGGCCCCCGGGCCCGGAAGTGCACTGTTGAGAGGTGCTTGAAGCCATGCTTCCATTTCGCTTCACGGTAGAACGGGATAGGAGTCATTCTACCAAGCCGCGACGATGCTTGTTTGCCAGCAGTGCGAGAGATCAATCTCCTCCGCGGATCCTTCGGGAAAGTCCTGAGACAGCTCCAACGTTTTGGTCAACTCCGCAGGCAACCATGGCCAGAAAACTGAAGCCTTTGACCCACCCCAGTGGCCCATTTTCGGAGGTGGTTCTACCAGGCTTGGGGTGGTGCCAGACCAGTTTGGTCTTAAGAGTTCTCACCTACCCACAGGATGGATTGGAGCCAAACATTTTCAAAATGCAACAACAAAACAAACACAAATCCCAGCAGGCCTTGGATTGCAGACTTAGATAATACACAGAATACACTTAGCTGCAGACTCAGTTCCCCCCCCTCACCACGCCCCCCTGCCCCTCTCCCTTCGTCCACGTTTTGTTTTTGTTTTCTTGATTATTGTTCTGTTTGTTTTTCTGTTTATTATTTGTTTTTTTTGTTTTCTTTTCTGACTTTTTTGTTTAGACTTTTATGTGTTTTGTTTTTGTTCATTGGTGTTCTTCATTTTTGCCTTTCCCTCCCCCCCTTCCTCTCCCCCCCTTCCTCTCCCCCCCTTCCTCTCCCCCCCTTCCTCTCCCCCGCTTCCTCTCCCCCCCTTCCTCTTCCCCCCCTTCCTCTTCCCCCCCCTCCTCTCCCCCCCTTCCTCTCCCCCCCTTCCTCTCCCCCCCTTCCTCTCCCCCCCTTCCTCTCCCCCCCTTCCTCTCCCCCCCTTCCTCTCCCCCCCCTTCCTCTCCCCCCCTCCCCCCACCCCCTTGTCCATTTTTTGTGTGCTGTTGTTGCTTTTCTGGTTGTTTTTTGAGTTGTGTTCTGTTCTTTTTGTTCCCTGTTTTGGTTTCTGATGTTTTTCAAAGTCAGAATTTACTTCTATTTAAGTCTGACTTCCAATCTGTGTTTGTTTTTCTGTGTTTGTTTTCCTTGTTTTTTATATTTATTTGTTTGCTGATTCCGGGCCTCTTCATCGAAATAGAACTGTCAAGTTTAGTCACTTAGTGGTTAAAAGAAGCTCACACTTTTGCTGGCCCATGCTGCGGCAGTCTGCCGAGGCGCAGAAGAAGATCGAGAGATCCGAAAAGAAGGCCCAAGGGTCGAAAGGTCGAAAGAGGGCCCAGACCTCCAGAGCAGTTCTTTTTGTCAGTTGAAGGGGGGGGACCTTTGAACTTCCCAAACGAAACGGGCAAGCCGACTGGTTTGTTCAGTGGAAACCCACTGGAGTCTTGGGCGGACTTGGGCGCTTGGTCTGCCAAAGCTGGAGAAGGGACCGTCGTTTAGGGATGGCCTTTGGGCCGGGTCTCGGCGGAAACCCTGTGTCTGACTTGGTTCGGAATCGGTCAAACTCAGCCCTGACCCGATAGCAAGATTGTCACCGGCCCGCTGCGCGGGACAGCAACATCACAAGCCACGCTGCGGGTGGGAGCGAACAGCAGGTTTTGTAGTCGACGGACAACATTGCTGTGGTATCAATGTATTCCTCAATACTTGTTTTTGGTGATCCCCTATCAACTCCCCTATCGGTGTTGCAGATGGGGTCAAATGCTTCGGGCTCTTGTGGTAGTGTCATTGGGCATATAATATGAACCGCAGTTGTGCATGATCTTCACCAAGAGCTATGTTGGCAATTCATGACTGCGTTGATAGATCATGGGAAATGTTATGTGAATGCTTAGGCCACACGCGCATGTGACCAACTATGCATGCTCTAATATTCAGGCTGAGGCCTACCATCAAACCACCTGGGAAGTTAGACTTTTACGTCAGAAGAGATAGACATGAGGCGCTTGCAGGCAGCGGATAACTCGGAGAAAAAAAACAAACAGAAAACAATTTAGGGATTTGAGCCATCCATGCGGTTTCATCTGTCAATTGTCTTGAGCCCTTTTTGCTTGTTGGAGGTGCTCGAATTGGTGGCTCCGTGCTGTTCCCCAACGAACTTCTGCAGAGGATGCACCTTCTTGGACCCTTCAAGTGCCGGACAAGCGAACATGCTCAAGCAAGGCACTTACCACCTGGCACGGTAGTCTTTCTTTCTTTCTTTCTTTCTTTCTTTCTTTGCTTGCTTGCTTGCTTGCTTGCTTGCTTGCTTGCTTGCTTGCTTGCTTGCTTGCTTGCTTGCTTGCTTGCTTGCTTGCTTGCTTGCTTGCTTGCTTGCTTGCTTGCTTGCTTGCTTGCTTGCTTGCTTGCTTGCTTGCTTGCTTGCTTGCCTCGTTTTTTTGTTTGTTTGTTTTGTTTGATTTGTTTGTTTGGTTTGTTTGTTGTGTTTGTTGTGTTTGTTTGTTTGGTTTGATTTGTTTTGAATTGTTTGTTTGTTTGTTTGTTTTGCTTGTTTGGTTTGTTTGTTTGTTTGGGTTGGTTGGTTACTTGCTCGGGTCCTTGGCCCTTTTGGCCACGGGTCCATAAGCCACAAGACAAAATCAAGGGAGTTGGAAAGCAGACCACCCATGTTGGAAGATCATTCTAGTGGCGGTTGGTCAAAACTCCGGGTCTGGCAGGCAGCGGCCAAAGCCAAGCGCATGCTGTCAAAGGTGTCGAGCTCCCAGTCACCTCCAAGAAAGAAGGAGAAGAAGGCAACCGCGGGTTTGCTCAAAGCGGTTTTGGGAGCTGCCAGCCGTTTTTTGGGGTTCCTTGATTTGGTTATCATCATCGTTTTCTAGTGGTATCTATTGCAACCCTGGGAGTTTCTTCAAACAGCGGGTTTCCTACAACTTCCAAACGATTGACCACTTGAAGTGGGAGGGATTTCAGTGTCCCACTGAACGACTGGGAGATCTAGTGCTAATGCGAAGCAAAAGGACTGTTGGGTGTGTTTGAATGTTGGGTGCCATTTTGGTATCCACTTTGCGAGGCAGATCAAGGCGGCACAAGCGTCCAAAAAGGGGCCATGTTCTGACAAGCTCTCGCTAACTTCCAACCACTTCCAGGGATCCTCAGAAAGCCACCAAAGAACAAGCTTGATGGTTCTGGAGGAGGCCAAGCATGTTCTGGGCATTTTTGTTGGCGCTCGCAAAGAAGCGAGCTCACCCATGAAGTTTCTTCGCGAGATTCCTTTCTAGGTGATGTTCGTGGCCCAGAATGTTGGTGTTCATATTATATGGTAGGATCCGTATTTTCACGGATACGAACACCCTCCCAGGCTTGCATTTCAAGCCGGAAGTGTCAGAGGCTCCGGTCTCAAAGGCAAGTTTTCAGAGAGTATGCCCTGTACACTTGGAACCTGGCATCATATCTGTGTATGTGTTCGTGTGACGGTACCCTTTTCAGGTTGGTTCACAAGGGAAACCAAAAGGCAAGCCACCTTTGTTTGGGGGTGGGCTGATCGAATGATCGAAGCGCCATGGCACAGGTTGAGAAAGAGAAGGCGAAGAAGGAAAAAAGGGAAGACAGCATCCTGGATGAAAGAGTCAAAGTCGGGCGACGCAGTTGTCGACGAATCGACCTTTTGAATCCGTTTGGCTTTAAAAGCTTGGTCATGTCAACTTATGGCAGGTTACACTTTCATGCGGGTTCCTGAAGGGTTTGGACACTCCTTGTCCAATTTACCAGACCCATGTCCAAGCCCTTTTGACCCGGGCTCAAAGAACCTTGGGTTTGTGTTCAAGGAACACAAGCTGGATGTTGGCTCGGGGAGGTTGTGTTTGCTTTATTTGTTGGGAGCTTCCCACTGTATCCGAAGGGCGGCAAAATGCCAAAAGTGGTCGCTAGCACTTGTTCCATGGTCAGTCCAAGGCCCTTTCAGGACCTTGGGCCCATTACTCTGTTGGCTGAGCTGGCTCGCCTGGATTTGTTTGTGAGTCTCAAAACTGCCATAGAACTTGAAGTGCCCCGTTGTCAGATAGGATGTTTCTCTTTTTTTTTTCCGGCTGGAGAATGGGATTCCCACGGGTAAGGTACCCGTGGGTCCTTTGTTGCCAGGGCAAGGTGGGGAGACTGTGTCCAGCTTGCTTCTGAATTGCCGAAATGCTCGCGTTCTGTAACGAATTGCTACACTGATTGGGGTAATGAATCCATCCACAGCAGAGAGAATACCCGGCAAGAGGGTGGAGGATCAGTGCGTGATGTGTCTCAGCATCAGGGGCTGCCCCAAACCATGCCGTTATTTTCTTTGATTTCCCTTTTGACTCCACCCAGCAGGTAAACCGGCTCAAGGGGCATTGTGGCACTTGAGGACAGGGAAATGCAGCTTGTGATTGTTAATAGTTGGTTTACCTGTGTTTCTTTTCACTGAAAATGGGCTATCAGATGAAACTGGATGAGTACTGGGGTAACGCAGGATGTTGCCCATCCAAGGTAGCACTTTGTTCAGACCCTTGAGCAATGTTTGTTGCTCCAGAGGCTCATGTCCACAGTGGTGCTTCGCTAAAAAAGATGTGCCACACATCTAGGGCAGAATGGCTCTAAACAAGAAGACCTTGGTGCCCCCTGTAAGGGACTGACAGGAGGTTCTTGAATGTAGGTTTAGCCATGGGAATGGCCGCTCACACAGCGGTTCCCGAGAGTTCCAGGGCGTTCCGGGACTGTTGGGGATACCCCCTGGGCTGATTGTTATTGATCAATTCAATGGGGGGAGGTGTTGTGATTGCAGTTTCCGAAGCAGTCATTTGATGCACGTGTAGCAATCATGTTTAAACGTGCAGTGGCTGGCTCTCTTGAATGTACGTACGGCACGTCTCTCTTGAAGGTGAGACCAAGCTAAATCACCGTGTAAGTGACCATGTGCGATGTGCGCATTCTGCCTGGCCAAACATGTCCTCTATGAAAATCACGTGGACGGTCAAAGCCCACCTGAACACCCCGAATCTCCAAAATTATGATCTTGGTGAAAGGTGTGCCTAGGTTGTTTGAACTTCTGTCCATTGGGAAATGGATAGTGATTATGGTTTGTTTGCCACCACCCAAATTAAAGATTGGCTGTTTCTGGATGGAATACCCTCAAAAAGTGGTTGTCGGGCATTAATTCCCATGTCAATATCCACCAAAGGGTCCACAAGCGAAACTCATACCCCTTTGACAAGGTGAAAGTAGATGGCGCATTTTGGCTATGGGTCAGAATTCAACAACGAGGGGCCCGCAGGTTTTAGTCGTTGGTTCCATTTACCAGGGTTCCATTTTGGGTACCTATTTTTGACTCACAGCCATTTATTTGTCCGTTAATGTGGGTATGTACAGTGGATGGCTAAACGAAGCTGGGAGAACTGGACCGTCTTCTTTCACCCAGCTGCACATATGGATTTGCCTTTTTTTTGAGCGGGAAAGCCGAAGCCATTTGGTGAGTCCCTCTAATGTTGACCCCATATTAATCAACCCCAGTTTATTGATAGGGGGGTGTTTCTGGGTTTAGTGGGGGATCATCACTTTTGGAGGGGAACACTGAACTCCCCCCCATGAATGAACTGGGGTAAACATAAAGAAGGACACATCCATCTCGCATATCTCTGCCTGGGGCGAGCCCTCCTCCTTGAGGCGACGACAGCGGGCTGCTCAGATTGACCAGGCCCTTAGGTACGGACAACACGAATATTATCGTGTCATACCAGGACCCCAGAGAGCGGTGAGTTTCCGGCTCGTATCCTTTTCTACACCCGAAAGAGTACCCTCAAGAAACCCTCGGCACCCTTGGCAAGGTATAGCGTTGACGGATCAATATATCAATATGGCGTGTTCATTGGGCTGTGTTCCGCCAAATGTTGCAGAGCCCCTCGAAAATTCGCACAGACGGGTTTCGTATTCCTGGTTCGTAGGTGTCATTTTCGGTGAGTTTGATGACATTGGATTCCTCTGGTTACTGGTTTCAGTTTGGTTGAAATGTGTTGAGATCATTTACCCAATTCAATGTCATGTATTTTTCACAGAAACAACGCCAGGGCTGTGGGGTGAGTGTCTCTGATTCCGTGATGACTTTGAGCCTTCACAAATTCAGAGGACACCAGGGCTGCGACCTTTTGTTTTCTGGGTCGAGTTTTCTTTCAATAATTCAAGATTGCCTAGAGCCGAAGCGTTTTTGTCCCTCGCGAGGTGATTGCGGTCTATCGTGCCAGATGAGAATTGCAACAAATGCGGTTCTCGAACTCCCAGGTTAAACAATTGTGTTTGACTGCATTCTGGGTTGCTCCAAGACACGGCAAACGGGAGCTCATTGGAATTCCGAACCCTTTGCAAGCAAGGAGACTTTGGGGGGTTTTACACGGTTTGGGCCAGACTTGGTTTGGGACGTAGTCCACTGCCCGGCCCGAAAGTTGCAAGTTCCAGCTTTCGCACCCGCAACTTGCTCGACCATGCATGAGGCAACATGACGTAGTGGTTTTGTTAAATGATGGTTTCCCCTGGTTACCTACTAGGCTGTTGGACGAACTTGGTACATGGGTGCTGGCCCGCGTTTATTCGCCCAGCACGAATCACCCAGGCGATGCTGGTCGCCGGCATCGGAAGGAGAGCCGGAGCAAATGATCTGTATGGGTGTGCTGTAGGTGGTTTGTCCCATTTTTTTTTCCTTCACCGTTGATTGATCAGCTTGTCCTTGGATCCAACAATTATTTGAGATTTAATTTATTTAAGTTACATGGACTAGATAGGAAGCCAACATATTACAATCTGGGTTTGCTTTTTGAGGGTATCCTTTTTTGGTGGTTTTGCAGCGGAACTAAAAGGAAAACTGAAGCCATTTTGGGGAGGGGGGTCCAAAGCACAGCGACGTGTTGGACTCTCGTTTCCACCTGTGATTCCAGGTGCTTTGTTTGCGAGGAAGCCAACCATTGCTCCCCCCAAGCTAAAAAACACCCCGATGCAAATTAAGGCAGCCAGTATCAAGATGGACATGAGGCAATATGTATTTGCGGAGGACGAGAGGTGAGAGGGGCAGACACAGAGGGAGATCAGTCATTAGTGCTGTCGTCGTCAGCACCAGCTGCTTGGGCCTACTATAACCTGCGCTGTGGGTTCCTTCTGTTCCCTTGATTGAGAATTCACCCTACCACCCCCTCCACCCAGGTCTGGTGTAGTCTTGGTCCCCCTGTTGGGAGGGCAACTTCCTTCTCATCACCTTCGTTTTCAGCGCAAATAAGGGCAAACCTGGTGATGAGCATGATGTTTTGGTGTAAAATAGCCTCATCAGACGTGGTAACTGCATGTTGCACGTGCCGCAGCGGCATGGCACATGGACCAGTGGCCCCAGGATCGCGCCCTGAACGGTCGGCGAGGCGCCGCGGAAAGGCAACACAGGAAATGCGACCAGAAGCCAGCTGGTGGGTCAAAATTAAACCGTCCATGTTTCCCTTTGCCAGGGCAAGCCATTTTGGGGTTACCCTATTTTTGGTCAGCCAGCTGGCCCGGAAATTCATGGCTGACCCTGCTATTGTGGCATTCCTGAAGGTGGGCAGCAATGGGATCGAAACTTCTACAATTGGGGTTTGCTTGTCTCTGATCCCAGTCAGGCGGTTTGCCCAAATGAAGCCTTTAGACTGTCATTGTTTGTCGTCGTAGCCGTCGCCCTTGTTGTCGATTGACCTCGGCATAGAACTGGTTTCTGTCCAAGCATCTTCTAGTCAACGAACTCACTCAGTGAGTCGGGTCGCATTGCTCAGACCGGCGACGACACAGCGAGAGCCGGAGCGAGGAGTGGGCAGTGTCGAGTACAGCGAGCGCTGTCAAGTAAGAGCGCACCACAGGAATGCCAGACCTTCCAGATTTGTGGGCAATGATTGCCACACATTTGGCAAGTTCTCCTGATTTTCTGAAAGGTGGCCTCTGTACCATAGCGCGAGATGTTCTTCTCTTGGCCCATAATATGTATGTCTTTCCCTGTTCACTGAACCGCCAAAGCATGGGAAATCAACTTTGGGCGAAACCACAGAACCATGGAACCCACCGGCCCCCATCGGACCCCTATCGCTCCATCAACTGCCAGAACCCTATCCTCCATGCCCCTGGAACCTTCCGGAACCTGAAAGGAACCTTTCAGGACCCTCGGGAAGCTGCGCAACCACTCAGAGCTCGTCTGGGCAGAGACCCCCTTCCGATGTCGTGGACCCCCGCAAGCATCAAGTGGTTTTTGCTTAAAGCAGTTTGGGAAGGCAGGTTTGGTTGGTGTGGGCCTCCTCGTGCTCTAGATCTGGCAGTGAAGCAAGTTAGCGGGTGGGGGACGGGTTGTGTGCGCGATAGCTGTTTTGCTTCCCCTTGGGATGATTTGGGGAACGGGGGGGGGTGGTATTCCAGGGAGCCAAAGGCGATCCGCTCCATTTCGAGTTGTTCCCATTTCTGGGCGCTCAGTTGGTAGTTTGGTTCTAATCATGTATACACCTGTGGCATTGGGCTTGTTGTTGTCAGGAGTCGACTTCCCGCCGGCGGGAAGT